ATTAATTAATTAATTTAACTAATCTAATCTAATACATTAGATTAATAATGAGGACTATGGAGATGATGTTGAAAAGCTTTGTTATAAAAGATAAACAATTTTATATAGAATAGAATATAAAGATGTAATATTACCGAAGGATTCCAGGATGATATAATGAAATGCCATAATATAAATTTATTTTAAATTTAGAATATTTCACATAAAAAGGATGTAATAATAGCTATAGTCAATGCATGTTTAATAATCATAATAATTGTATACATATATATTAGATTGATGATATGAGATTTTATGTAAATTGCAAGTGAAGACTATTGTGAGGAGGCACAAAAGCTTGGTAACCAATTGACACACTGTAGGAAATTTGAGGATGGTTTTTATACTTTGTGTGTGTCTATGTTTGTTTGTTTTATGATTGTTTAAAAATAAAAACTTTTATTAAAAAAAACAAGATGAACTGGTTCAGGGGCTTGGCAGGCCTGGGTTGCTGCCAGTTCCAGCAACCTAGGCTGCTAAACCACTACCGGTTTGGTTGAACTGGTCTGAACCGGTAGGAACCCACCACTGAAGTAAGTTATGGTGTTTCTCGGGTGCACAGTAAGCAACATCATTCTAACAGAAATCATTTAGTTTACAAAACAGCCACTTGGGAGTTAATTCCTTTCAAGGTGCATTGGAAAGACAGAAATGTGTACAATGTATTACATTGAATGCAGGATGAATGGATCTTTTTACAGCTGTACAATTTCCTCCCACCACCTCTTTCTTCATAGTCCCTTGTGTCTGACTTTCAGCTCTTCAAACTGTATATGGGGATATGGAGGAAGGACAGGAAACAATCTGTTATTGGATGCCATTCTATGGTAGTTGGATATTGTAGTGCTAGATATAATCTGATGAATTAATTTCTAGTAATCTAATAAATTTATGTATTTATAAGAACGACTCTCTTCACTTTTCTTAAGCTGCCTAAAACTGACTTCTAGCTATTATTCTAAGTGCCAAATTAGTAGTTAGTAAATAAAGTCAGTATAAAATTCTAAGATTTCACAGAGATGAAAATGGTACACTCAATTTTATCCTACCTATTTTCAAATATATTCTCTTTTTCTTCTACTGGTTCTGATTTGTCACAGATCAAACCACATATCATAAAATAAATCTATTCCTAATGAAACTATATTATTTCCAGTACATAATAATCCAAAATGTTTTGTTTTTTTCTTTAAAAGCCACCAATGGTACTGTACTTTATTTATAGTTCCCAATAACTTTTTAAAAATAGTTTTCCAGTCCAATGTAGGAGAGATAACATTGTTCGTAATAATGCTAGGTATTTCCCTGCACAAAAGATAGTAGACTAGAATGCAAACTAAATTGAGGAAAATAGTTTGGGGGCTACAACAGAGAAGAGTATTCTAGTGGGAAAAATCTGACTGTCCTATTTATTTCCCATACTTGCCTGCCTTTTAATTCCCATTAATCTAGCAAATGTGTGATTGGAATACATATTTACCAATTGATATCAAGATTCATAATCAGCAAAATAGTGTGAGGTTAATATTCTTACTTATGCATTTGTAAAACACTAATTTGCTCAGAATATCATCAGATAGAATTGAGAGTGTGTATCCCATTTCAGTGAACCAAGTAGATTTCTGAAAGAATTGAACCAGAACCTCAGATAAGCAGCTGAAAAGCCTACTATTCTCTCTCGCTAAGTGTTGATTTAATAGTTGCAGGGCAAGAGCAAAGCTGGAGGCAATTGGTGATGGATAACTAATTGCATGTTTTGTATCACACCATGTGGCTAATGATACACTAGTAACCTCTTGAAAAGAAGCTGATCAGCATAATGTAGTCTATTCTTAGTCTTTGTCACTATAATTATAAACTTGTCTTATTTCTCTGTAGTCCAGATGAACTTAATTAAAGTTGCACATGCTGTATATAGGGTATAAAAGAGTATCTTTCTAATACTATAAGCCATATGGTAATTGCTAGGTAGTAAATAAAACCTCGAATATTAGAATATCAATTAACATAAAATCACAGAACCAAGCAAAATAAGGAGTATTTTTTCTGTTTCTGCAACACAATTAACTGCTTGGCCATTGTGAAACTACATAGTATGAACAGATTGCCTTTGAAAGACACACTATATTCTACATGTTAATGGTCGAATAATCAAAGAAAAAGTAAATGACCAGAGGCAAATCTGACACTCAAACAAGTAAAGAATGAAGATTGTATCCAAACTGAACAACAAATAAATACCAGAAAAAAATGAACTTTTAGATTTAGACCGGGGGGGGGGGACTGAAAACAATATTTCTGCAGTCCAGTCCAATCCCACTGGAGCTGGGCAATTGATTTCATATCCTCTCCCTAGAAGAAAGTGTGTAGACATCTGGAGAAGTGACATCATCAAGTGTATTGATGATAAGAAAAAAAGTAGAGACCAGGCTTTCCCAAGAAAAAACAGGCACATGTAGCTGATAGAAGACTCAATTCTCTGACGAATGGAATCAGCAACTTGTAGCTTGGACAATCAGTCTGGGGAAGCATGATCTTTGCTCCAAGAAGCAAAGATCAAAGAAGAGATAGCAATAGCAGTTAGACTTATATACCGCTTCATAGGGCTTTCAGCCCTCTCTAAGCGGTTTACAGAGTCAGCATATTGCCCCCAACAACAATCTGGGTCCTCATTTTACCCACCTCGGAAGGATGGAAGGCTTTGGGCTAATCACCGGAAGATGT